AAAAAAGGATCCATACCATACCCAGCTGCGTTTTACCTGCAAATGGGCATGTTCATACTTACTTCTGTTTTTGCGAAATTTGTGTTGTCTTTGTAGGATTTGTAGACGGATGGATGGATGTACTGGAAGCACAACGAAGGCGAATTTCTACGAATTGATCCGTGTTTTCGAAAGTGGACGTAATGACGAGTGTCACAGATAGGTTTGGTTCGATGGATTGTAATGCTTCGGTTGTGCGGGGGATATTAGTACTTTGCGGGTGACGTTGTACTGAGAAAGGATGGACCAGAAGAAGAGCGTTTTTCAGAGAAGGAATGAAGGCGATGAGACAAGACGTGGTGAGTTCAGGAAAATTTGCATCATCGAGTTCTTGGTTATTTGTGTGTCATGGAGGAGTAGGATCTACGTTTGGGAAGTAAATGGAATTATATTGACTTGCCGTGTCATTACGATGCATACGAGCAGGGGGGCTGTTAGATATACTCGTAGCATAGTAAATGCGGTTGAATATGGGGCATGGATCTACGGAGATTGCAGTTGGTAGATTGCGGAGGAACAGGGAGTTTCTGCTTGGTTTCTTCGGAGATTCGATGAGTGATCTGAATTGCGTGACGGATAGGTGTGGTGATGCTCTCTTCGGTTCCTCGCCTTCTAGTGTTCTCTGCTGTTCCCTCTTCCCTCTAATACAAGACTTTCCCATCTCGGCCCTCACCGGCCGAGTAGCCTTTCTCCACAAACCTACAAGCTTCGGCCTACCCGGTTTATCCAACAGGGTGAATAATTCTGGAGTAACTATGTATGTACTACTTTTTCCCTGCTGCACTGCGGTGGCAACAGAGGTCCGGCGTTGAAGCCTCAACCAGGTTGCGAGGTCTCAAGTCGTTCGTTCGGGCAAGTGTTGCTACTAGCGCCCGGTCGGTCTCAGAGACCACCAAGTTTGTTTGTTGCCCCTTGTATTGACGAGGAGATGATTTTGTTCTGGACACACACACGTGACCACCAGCATAATGCGCCCCACCCCCAACCGCATCAACAACCTAATGCATGTATGCTGCATACCATACACTTGACAACAGTCCTGGCGCATCCCCTAGTCCTCAGATTCCGTGGGGGCAGCGTGAATCCGGCGGTCATCTTGTCGACGGACGAACATCCCGAAATCCCAAGAAGTTCAACAAGCCGCTACTTCTCGCCAGCTTTGGGCAATAGTCTAAATTCTCCCAGCCAATACCCGCCCAGCCGCCCAGAGAGAGGAATTTTCTTGGAAACCGTATACGGTGTAGTCCACATTTATTTGTCTGTACCTGTATGCATTGCCATCGTCGGTGTCGTATCCCCGGGGTAATCTTGTGACCTCCCCCGCAAAGAAATCGGCAAAAAGCTGAAAATACGTCGCCGCACCCAGGGGCGGGTGATCGGTTTTCCGGAAAACCAACTTTGTCCCGCTCTGTATCTTTCTGCTACAATTAATTGTATGCATATTATTCCGGGCAAGTTTTACTTTTCAACTATTGTTGAGAGATTCCCCCGTTTTCTTTTTTGAGGCATGCAAATCTCACCCAAAGACTGCCCGTTCGAGATAATAGTTGCGAGCGGGTATCTCATACCATGGTAAGTACTTTTTCCACCACAAGGCGTCAGACATACACGCGGTCGGTGTGTTACCGTTTTCGGACGGGACGCGCCCAGAGCACACACGGTATATTTCGGTTTTTGGACGGGAGCCGTCATCCGCTTTTGTTTGACAAGTGCGCATTAGAAGGTGCAAAAGGCACCTACTCCTACCTGCAGTACCCAACACCTTCCTTCTACACCTTCCCAGTGTAACATTCAGAAAGATGCACAAGACGGCCACCAAACTGTCTTGTTGAGCCTGTTACCCACAGGGGAGATACCGCCGTGTGCTGTTCGGGAAATCGTGGAAATACAGGTAGCCTCCGCTAACGCTATGGATTTATTGCTAATCAATGCTAAACGCTCTACTACAGATGATAGAGATGGAATCGTTGTGTCAGAACACAAAAAAACACGAGTGGTGGTTCGTTGCTGCTGAGGATGGATATCGTCGTCTGTCCCTATTCGAAATTACAACTTTTTGGCCGTCAAGACATAACATGCGGCAGGCACCGAAATGCCGCAATGCACTCCTCCCACCCCCCTCAGGCCGAGTTTCGAAGCTCGATTATTCCACAACAACCAAGTGGGTACGGGAAGAGCCCGAATCGTCGTTACCGAAATGTTTCCAAAACCACCATTTTTTGTGTTGACCCAAGCTTGGTTGGTTGTGGAGAGATCGAGCTTTGAAGATTATTGATCAATAGGATGGGTGCCATCTCTCCGCCTGTCACAGTAGTAATGCAGTTGAATCCCAACCTACAATAAAATAGCCATGTACAAGGTATTGTCAAGATAGACGACAACAACCCGCAAGCTCCTCAAATAGGATTGGTCTCCGAAAAAGACAGATGATCGAGAACTCAATTGCCGCCTGCAAAGATATGATCCTGTGTGGCCCGGTACCTCAAGAGGGGTGAATAGGCCTTTCCTTTTCTTTGCTTAGGGGGTGTCATCTCCATGGGAAAGGGGGCCAAGGCTCCCTTCGTGCTGTTCTCTTTCCTTTGCCTCCTGAACGCATGCTCGTATATTTTGTCCATTTCTGGCAGCAGTCTACGCAGACATTTTCCAAGATAAAAATACTGGATAGAGTTCATAATCGGCTACGTTAGGGTCAGGCTTAGGGATAGGGTCTGCGAGCCCCCTGTCCGGTCTTTTTTCGCAATACTATTTTCTCTCTTGCAGGCATAGCATTTCGGGAAAAGCAGTGCGAAATGTCTCGTTTTTTTTTGCCGTTTCCCCCGGGGTATTGTGGTACGTCCGATTGTTGTATCTACATATCCCTCTTTTCCCTTGTTTTTTGTCGTTGGGTTTTGCCTTTTCTTATACTTCGGTAGTGTTTTTCTCTCGTTTTTCTCCCTTTCAGCAACCGAGCCCTTTATTTGTGCCGCGCATCTCGCCAGCAGCTCTGAGGAGGCAGCCCCAGACAAGTATTTCGATCTTTCGGCTAGGAAAGCGAAACGGATCCTCGGAGCAATGAAACGGAACACGGCGAGACTTGTCGGACAGTTCTCAACATAAGGGCCGACTACTGTCGTCGAGGAGAAACGCAACACAAGTCGGCGCCGGCAGACGTTTTCTTCATTGTCAAGAGTTTTCAGCATGACCTCCGCACAAGGCTGTGCCACTCGGGCAAGGGTGAGCTTTTACGTAGGTTTGGGATTCGAATACGTTTTCCCGTACAGGTTGGTGGCGCCATTGCTCTATTGTCGAATTCTGTAGGCTCCACGTGCGTTCTTTCCCGTCCTGTGTATCCCTCTCTCCCTCTCCCTCTCCCTCCGCCCCCCTCTCTCTCTCCTCCTTTCTCTTCCCCCCCAGCGCAATCATAATCCAAACCCTAACCCAATCCTCCCCCCCCCCTTTTTCCACGACCTCAACACTCGGCAAAGGGGCCGCCAAGACCTCATACCACGACGGCTGCACCGCCGGTCGTGGTCCGAACCCGCAACACCAAACCGACCGCCCTCCTGGCGCTGTGCGGTATGGCCATAGCAGCAGCAGCAGCAGCAGCAGCAGCAACAGCGGGAGCAACAGCAACAGATGTACCCGCAGCCGCTGCTGCTGTTCCGACAAATGGTACTGTGATTGTTGTACCTGCCGCCACCGCTGCGGATGACCCGCCTGGCGGTGCTTCCTCGCGAACAAGGGCCGGCAAGGATACCAGAAGTAGGACGCTGGTGCACCTTGAGTTGGGCTCCGAGTCGCCGATGCTGCTTCCGGAAGAATTGGCGCCGGCACCGCTGCCGATGGGCGGCGAAGGAGGCATAATTTTCGAGGGGAGGGATGGGGGGCAGGGCGGCGTTGGTGCGGTGCCCTTCCCTACCGTCGACGAGAGCACCGTGATGTTCATGCACGTTCTTAAGTGTGCCGGTTCACCCCTGAGGTGCGTGGCGTAGAGGTGGTTTCAAAACGTTTCTTGATTGTAACGGTTCGACCCTGACGTACTTGGTGGCGTTAACAAGACCTTAAAAAGTATTTGGTGGCACATGCTACGAAAATCCCCTTTGTTGCCGTTGTCAACGGGTCTTTTGGTCTTCACGGTCCGTCACGATTGATCTACGAAATCTACGAAATGTACACCATACACCTAACACGGCAGAGCATGCCCCGCGAAGGGCAGACGTCGGGCTGTCAACCATGCTACGTGGCTGTGAACACCCCCTACAAGACACGTCTTGAAACCCTCGTGGGGCGCTTACCGTAGGTGACATGACGCAAGGTACCACACCCCCTGGACCGATTTTCAAAGCTCGACTACTCCACGAAGAAGAGGGTGAACATCTCAAACGATGCGTTTCAGGAAAGACCTTGACGATATGGTTCCAACACCGTCATTTTCGGCACCGCCACTCTTTAGTTTTGTTGTAATCGACCACTCTTTAGTTGTGGAGAAATCGACCTTTGAAGATCGGTTCAGGGCGCGTGGTATCTTGCGTCATGTCACCCACGGTATTTGAGTTGTCCATGGAATGAGAGCGACGGGTGTTGTAATGCTGCGCGTGTATACTGTGAGAGAACTTGACAACCGCTTCTCTCTCGGCACGTCCTTGAGATCATCCCCCGTAAACCTGCACATCGAGAAATCGGAACCTTTTGGACCCATTATTTGCTCTCCTCGAAACTTGTCCGACGGGCAATATTGGTGGTACGTGCGTTTCGTTGAGAGAACTTGACAGCCCGTTCTCTCTCGGTACAACGACAGAGCATCGTTCCTGGTTTAAGTGTGGGCTGGGATATGACTACCGGTTATTTATCTGTTTCCGGGAATTTCGGCCAGCAAGACGGACAACAAGCCGACAAGGGAGTCGAAGCCAAAGCCCTTCGTACATGACGGAAAATATTGAAGAGTTATGCGAAGGACGTTGGCTTGGAGCTGGAGCTTATACATGGCAGAGGCCGAAATTCTTGAGTTCATGAAACGAGTGCGACCGACCGGTTGTGGATTGGTGCGCCGGCACTCGCGCGCACGCAATACAAGATACATCCGAAGGTTTGTGGGGGCACACAGAAACGCCATTCACGGGGACGAGGCCCTGGAGGCAGCCACGGTACAAGCCTCGAAATATCTGGAACGTTTCTGGATCGTGGGCGTGGTGGAACAGTACACGGGTCTCCTGGAGGTCTGGAGGCGTTCCCTCGACCCCGAAGATAAGCACGGCCGCCCCTGGAACAAGTACGCGGCGATGCAGTTCAACTCGTGAGTATGATCATCGTTGTTACGTGGGGATAGTTTGACAATTGTTCGTCCGTTAAAGGCAGATAAAATTGGTTGTCGCGGCTGTGTTGCGCGTCTCTCTCTGGACATCCTACGCGAGGATTACGTTACAATTCGATGGGGGGGGGGGGGTCGTATCACTATCCCCAACCCTAACCCCGAGCCCCACAACGTACAGCCCGTACTAAAATCAAGATAAAACATACCATATCTCGCGAAGGCTGCTGCTCTCTCTCCTTCCCGACGGCCCACCCGCAACTGAATGGCCTTTGTCATTGTTGGTGGCGCTTGCGCGGTTGGTGTTGCTATGCATGCGGCACAAGCCACAACCACGTAAGACTGGGGCCAAGTTCCTTGGGCGCAATTCTCTTCCCTCGACGTGCATTCTCCCGGCCGGTGGGGGGTGGCACCATGGTGTATACGTATTATCTTTTGTCCCGCGTGACTCTGCAGTACGCTACACGCTTACTGCGTACCAAACTCTGTTCGAAATATATGTATGGACCGTTGGGACAATAACATTGCGGTAGAAGTCCCTGTATAGTTCCGGTGTGTGCCCAGAAAACGCATTGGCGCTATACCGGACCGGCACTACTCAATGTACCGACAATCACAATGACTTTTGAAATTCAGTGTGTACCCGCCGAAACCACCAAACCGGCACTATACAGGGACCTCTGCACTAAACAGGGACCTCTGCACTAGTATTCGATGGTATTTATATTTCCCATCAGGTTAGCAGGAAAATTGCTGTCACGAAAGCTATCCCCAACAAGTCACGAGCTTGACCGTAAGATCTGGTGGTCAGTCTAGTATCCTACGCTGAAACGTCCGTAGTAGATGTTGGTATTTTTCCCCACAAGAAAGGGAAATTAACCTTGAGCAACAAAATGTTTTTTAAATACGTGTGCAGGCGCATTCTGTGCATCCCGCTGCTCCCTCCTGGCGGTACCGTTAATCCACGCACAATACCATCCCCTCCCAGGTCTCTCGTGGGTTCTCGAGAGGTTCTGGCTTTGATAGACCCGGAGCTCGTGCGGCACTTCAACGGCTCTCTCGCGTTGCAGTGGGAGGTGTACGAGAGATCCGTTGGACTCTGGGGAGTCCGCTGCCGGGAAGTGCTACGGGATACTCTGCACGAGGAAATGTGTACGGTGCCCCCCCCCTGGTCGTTATAGAGCAGTAGACGCTCGGCGCCGTAGGTGGCAGAAGATGTCACCCCCGTGCCGTCCGCCGATTTGTCAAAGGCTCTTCGGTCGCCTTGCGACGACGAGGATGCCTCATGAAGCGATGATATACTTTCGGAAGGCTCGCGACGAGACAGTTCGAAAGCCGACGTTTTCCGGCGCCGCCAGCCACAATTTCTGTACGGGAGCGTTGGGAAAAGGCGAAGGGGGTGTGATATCTTCCGCTTCGTGAGCAGAGCACGGGGATGGGATGGGGTGGGACCCTCGACTGCCGGGGGAGGGAGGGGGGTTACGCTTCCCCGTGCATGTCGATGTCGTCAGACCATTGACCGAGCATCCCTACAAAGTCGGGACGGAGCACTCTGGGGTCTCACCGGGCCAGGCTCTCACATCACCAGCCGCGAAACACCGTGAGGTATTGGGGGAGTCGCATGAAGGGTGCGCTACATCCTGCTATAAGGGTGTTTTTTCACATGGGGGGGGGGGGGGTACCTCATAGTCGTGCATGCCGTAGTCGTTAGACCATTGACCTCGCATCCCTACAAAGCCGGGACGGAGCACGCCGGGTTCTCACCGGACCAGGCTGTAGATTTCGAGAAGATCCATTGGGCGAGCGGACGTTTCTTGAAAAGCAAAGCGCTTTGAGCACGAAGTGAGTGATCAACCCCTCCCCCCCCAACTCCTGCCACCTAGGGCTTCCAAGTAATTATTTATCGTAACGGGGAACTTGTACGTACCGCCTTCCACCTTTGCCTTTGCCAAGGGTCGCTCTAATTCATGTAGTGTTAATAGTTAATTATAGGTACGCACGCGTGTGTTTGATCTGTGTTTCGTAATATTAGGGTGAAGCCGTTTCAAGCACGCACGTTTGATTTGTGGTTCGTATTTGTTGGCGATGGTAGCAGCACCCAGGGGCGGTCGTAATCGTGGGACGCCAAACGTCTTCGATTTCGAATTCGCTCCAAAGGCGGTCGGTGTAAAGCAGAACCTGGCTCGGTCTTTGGGGGTGCGACGGCCTCGATATGTAAATTTGGTGAGTTGTTAATTTCCTTTATTTTGTGAATTCCGCCATTGCGTGAGTTGTCGTGTACATAGCAGCAGCAGTGTCGTCTAGGCGCCCACCGGTTGACAAGCGTCCACGGTTTTTATCGGCCTTTTGCTAAGAAAGTGTGCAGTGGGATACATTTTCCCGACCCCCGCGTGAGCCTGGTGAAGTTACCAGCAGCGGACGCTGTTCTAGTCGGGGAATGGAACCGTTTTGTAACGGGACTTCGAAAAAATATAAAGTGTTGTTGTTGTTGTTATTGTTGTGGTTGTTGTTGTTGTTGTTGTTGTCTTCACATACAAAACGTCCCGTTCTCTCTGCCTAGTACTTTGTTCTGTCCCTAACACTTGATGGGGTCGATTCCCGTGGTCACAGGCTAACTTACCCAACAAAGGTATACGAAAATATAATGGACCTGAAGGGTATAGATCGGGTTGTACTCGTGCCTTGATTCGCCAGGTGGAATTTTCGGCTCGGGTGCAATATTGGCCCGGTCGGGAGTCGGGGTTGATTCACACCGGGCCTTCATGTAAACAAAAGTTGTAATCTCGTGCCTTCGTTTTCCTGGGAAACGTGTCGGCGGGGGTACGTTGGGCTGGTGGGGAACGGTAGGGGTTGAAATTGTTGGCAAAGGGGGGTGGTGGCAATTGGCTGGGTTTTCGTCTGTTGTTTGTGTTGGTGGAGCCTCATCTGGAGCGTCGGTCTTGACGTTCTCCACGGCATAAGGTTTATGCTACCGTATCACGGGGGATTGTCCTGTGTCCAGTTCGGCGCGCAGCATGATGCAAAGCGTGGGGATGGGCCAGCCGAATCGTAAGGGTAGGAGTAAGATGTTTGATGTACGGTTGTGCTGGCGTTTGCTGGTGGTAGACTGTTCTCGATGGAAATCCCCCCGTAGGGTAGCTAGCGTAGAGAAGGGCCCTGCACGGGGCACATAGATATTTTACCATGGGTGGAGCGTGCTAAGAGTATTTTAGCATTGTTTTATGTTGCGTGAAATAGTCTTTAATCCCTTTTTTCACAGACTTCCACGGCCTGGTCGATGAAAACCTGGCATACGTACTAAGGATTGTGCAGATCGCTTCGTTTCCCTTTATTTTCAGTAGTGATACTCCCAAGTGCACTTTGTATAGAAACTCGCCGTCCACGTTTGTATTACGACGAGCAATACGCTGTACGCTCGAAATTCTCAGGGCCTTTGTTGGCCCTACATCAAGGTTTGTTGAGTCGCCAATTGGGTTTCTCCGCCACCGTGTTGTGTTGGGGATTTGGTACGGCCCGATGTTTTTTCATTGGTATCGCAGCTTGCCTCGGGCAACCGTGCTGGTCCTCTACGAGATTTTTTAGGTAGCGTGGACATTCGAACTCAAAAACAAATCTTAGGAAAAGGATTTTGAGTTGAGCCATCGTTCTGAGGGTCGTTCCTGACAGTCTGACCAGAACCTACAACAAGGAAAAAAAATCCAGGTGAAGAGCTGGCCTCGAAGTATCTTTAGATTGGACAGCTGTGTTGTGTTGGGGATTTGGTATAGTCCGACGTTTTTTTACTGTCGTTTAGGAGAGTTATCTTGTGACCGTTGAAAGCTCTTCCAGACTAGGAAAGAGATGAAAATGATCTTCAAGAGGTTCGAACGTTTTTCGACACGAAGATTTGCATCAACAAGAGGGAGTGAGCCATTGGCCACAGGACACACGCTCAGCGATCCCGACTCGCTCGCTTTCACAAGCTCCATGGGGTGCACGCGCTTTAGAAGTCGGACGAGACGCGAGTAAATCGAACCTGTTCAGCCTCCCTGTATGATTTTCTTCCATTTTTTTTCTTCTTGGCAAGACAGCGACAAGGATGGCAACACACATACATCCGTTATGTTCGCCAGAACCTCGCTCGAATTTGGAAGGATATAATTCCCCTAACCGCTTTTTTTGCAGTCGGACGAGACGCAAGCAAGTGCGAAGCTGTTCAGCCCCCCGCATATATATGTTTTTCGCCTATTTTTTTTTCCTTTTTTTGAAAAACGACGCAGCGGCAGGGGTGCACGTCATTTTCGCCAGACCCTCGCACTTGGACGGATCATTTCCTCTACCGGTCAAACGGCGCTCCTCCTTTATACGGGATCTCTTCACGTTGACCATCAATTACATCTACTTCCCATTGCACGCAAGCATACTTGTACGAAACATATAGCCACGACCACCCACCACATGGTCCATCAATCTACACACCAAAGAAGGTTGTTCTTTCCGAAAATAAATGTTGTACGGCAGTATCATCACGGCGATGCTGTTAAGACAGCGGCCGCGACGACAGAGGCGACACGACAACGACAACGACACCAACCACAAAAGCTTGCCTACACGGTCAATCACATTCCGACGTTGGACGTTCAGTCTTAACCGATTTTCCCACCCCTCGTAGCCTACCGTTCCGCAGAGAAAATACATACTGGTACATGGAACGTTCCACGACAGCCGAATATGTGGAACACAATTTTGAGTCGAACCACCACTCACTATTCAAAAACACTGCTACAGCATGGACGTGTCGCGCCCACGGTATACACCCGTTTGCTTCTAAGTCTCCTAGCTGAAGAACGTTCAGCTGTACCGGGAGTTGGGGGGTGCCACGGTGCACATCGCGTCATGCACAGTGATCGGCAGAACCTCCCGACAGCGAGCGTCCCAGAGCCCAACGGCCTTCTCGTACACTTTCCATTGCAGCGCCAGAGAGTCGTTGAAATGGCGCACAAGGCCCGGGTCGATAGCAGCCAGAACGTGCCGGGAGTCGACGGGAGACCTGATGGATGGCGCATGGCGTTCCGGTTCGTACCACAGAGAAATATGAAATATGGCTATGCTGATCATTCTTGAGTACACACGAAGCGACCGACATTCTTGAGTACGCACGCACTGGCGGAATGCATTGAGTTGATTTCCTGCATGTTGCGAAAACGTCATTGTTGCCGCACTCAAGGATTGACGAATTACTGTACTCCTGGCAACAGCACCGAATGCCACTGCTGTCGAAGCCAAACGAAACAAGACACGTCGATGGATGAAGCATCGATTCACTGCGGTACCGTAGGGCTGTTGTACCACGACTAAGAGAGGCAAAACAAATCGGAGATCACCCCAAAGATCCCACCGAATCAGAAACTGCAGTGTGTGCACTTCCGACGGTCTGAAATCCCAGAAGCCACCGGTCAGACTTCTGTGCCTCTGAGAACATATCACCACTAAAGAAGTTGGGGGTTAAGAACCTCCGGCTCAAAATGATCGAATCGTAAGTGCTCGGTCAAGAGTCTCTTAACGGTTGACGGTAACGATGATCGGATGTTTCAAAACTTGACCGTTACAACAGGTGGCTCAGCCAAGAGACTCGCAACGATCACCCACGACATAACCGCGGTCGAGTACACCCCACACAGAGAGAGCAAGACACGAGCCTCGGGCGACAATAGATAACCACACCCCCAGCTGAGCATGCGTTGTGTTGTTTTGTTGTTGTTGGGGTAAAATGTTTTAATATTCAGCTGTCTGTGGGGACGCCATGTGAGGTTTTGAATGGTGGCGCGTTGTGTAGTCCAATATAGCGCACACAGTAGCGGCTACGGTTCAACAGGGGGTTCGGACAAGGCGACAACAACGCTCGCATAAATCTGATTTTTGCGAAGGTGTACCGATTCTGGTAAAATTCAATCGACGGATACCCTGCGAATCGGGACCTCCTTAACAGTCTCCACCCACAGAATTTACCCTCGTTTCCCGTAAAAGTCGTACTGCTGTGTAACGTAGTCTATCATATCTCATGGTCGGAACAAGCCAGAAACTCTCTCTCTTCAACCGTACTGTGTAAAGTATATATGTGTCTCATGGTCGGAACAAGCCGAAGCACTCTCTCTTAAATCCGATTTTCACTCAAAATATCCGTCTTGAACCGTAGACGATA